CGGGGAGGGAGGGCAGGGAGGGGAGGGAGGGAGAGCAGGAGAGGAGAACTGACCAGTCTACTTTGTGTTGTTTGTGCTTTCTTCAGCCCTTATCTGTCTATAAGCGCAATGGCTCACGCCTGTAATCGCAGCACTTAGGGAGGCCGTTGCGGACGGATCACCTGAGGTCGGGAGTTCAAGACTAGCCTGACCAACATAGAGAAACCCCATCTCTACTAAAAATACAAAATTAGGCCGGTCGCGGTGGCTCACTCCTGTAATCCCAGCACTTTGGGAGGCCAAGGCGGTTGAATCACCTGAGGTCAGGAGTTCTAGACCAGCCTGCCCAACATGGTGAAAACCCGTCTCTACTGAAAATACAAATATTAGCAGGGTGTGGTGGCAGGTGCCTGTAATCCCAGATACTTGTGGGACCAAGGCAGGAACATGGCTTGAACCTGGGAGGCGGAGGTTGCAGTAAGCTGAGATCACGCCATTGCACTCCAGCCTGGGTACAAGAGCGAGACTTCGTCTCAAAAAAAAAAAAAAAATTAGCCAGGCGTGGTGGTGAATGCCTGTAATCCCAGCTATTCAGGAGGCTGAGGCAGGAGAATCACTTGAACCCAGGAGATGGACGTTGCAGTGAGCAGAGATCATGCCACTGCACTCCAGCCTGGGTGACAGAGGGAGACTCCAACTCAAAAAATAATAATAAAATAAAATAAAAATAAAGCCAATTAAGATCTTTAAGTTGCAATTTTGTCTTTTGACAACAGTCAAAGAGTAACTTTCTAAGAGTTTTCCCGTGACATTTACATTGCCTCCTGCAAGTTAGTAGCATTCCAGTTGCTCTGCATCCTTGTCAATACTTGGTAAATTTTATTTTAGTTTTTCTGGTGAGAATGTACTGGTATTTCTTTTGTTTTTTCCTCATACTAGTTTATACTTTGGAAGAATGTAGTGGTATCTTATTGTGCTTTTGTTGTTGTTGAGACAGGGGCTTGCTCTGTCCCCCAGGCTGTAGTGCAGTGACTTGATCACAGCTCACTGCAGCCTCCACGCCTGGGCCCAAGCAATTCTCCTACCTGAGCTTCCTGAGTAGCTGGAACCACAGACATGTGCCACCGCACCCAACTAATTTTTTAATTATCTGTAGGACAAGGTTTTGCTATGTTGCCCAGTTTGATCTTGAACTCCTGGGCTCAAGTGAACCTTCCACCTCAGCCTCCCAAAGTGCTATAATTACAGGTATAAGCCACTGGTGCCCAGCCCTACTGTGCTTTTAAAAAATCAACTTTATTGAGGTATGAGTACGTAG